CGCAATGCCACAAAAGGACAAGAACGAAACACGTATCAGAATCATTCCCACTGCCTGTGTGGATAAGTACTGATTCACTGGATGTTTCTGGGGCTCTTTGCTTTGGCAGGTATGACAGGAATTGTAGCCATTCTGTCCCCAGCTTCTGGTCAAAGATCGCTAAGGAGACACTCTGCTTGATGACACAGCGGCCATCCCTCTGGGAACTGCCGGAGTTTACACTCAGTAGCACTTGGCCTAGCTCTGTGAGACTCCTGAGCTCCTGAACGCTGCCATCTCCACGTTCTCATTGCTTCCTGTTTATACTTTCCCATGGTGCTCCAACACTGTGTCATTGCTGCTGTCACCACCCCTGAGCTGTGGGCCCCATGAGAGCGAGCCCTAGGTTTTGTTTATCTTTATGCTCCCTTCAAGGCCCATGGTGGCGCTTTTGTGATCACAAGATAAGTAACAAATGTTAGATGGATGAAGGAACTAGTTAGAGACACACTCGAAAATGCCAACCCTGTAGACCCTCTACACTGGATCTGTCCGGATTGTCATTTGCATATCTGAGACGGATGGTTTGGCAGAAACTAACCTAAGATGTAAGGGTCTTTCAGTATCTTAATTTGTTGTCATTTCTCTTCACTCTTTTCCCTCAAGCTCCTGGGAATGGACATTTGCTTATGACTTCCAGGCCTTTTATTTTTAAAATGTGTGTATGTGCATGTTTATGTGCAAGTGTCTGTGGAGGCCAGCAGGGGGCAGCGGATACCTTGGGGCTGGAGCTGGAGCCATTCTAAGTGCCCTGTGTGGGCACTGGGATCTGGACAGGTCTTCTAGGCAGCGCAGCCCCTAACTGCTGTGCCATCTCTCCAGCCTCTGGTAATTTTAAGCTGGCAGGTTCACATGTAGGAGACAAGGAGGGCTAACCAATGGCACTATGTAAGTATTACAGAATGCCGGGCGGCGCAGACACACCGTAAACATACTTGCTCATCCTTACTGCTTCCTACTCTTTACTGCATTTTTCTTTCTGCCAATGATAGACTATGGTACTTTTGAGAGGAAGGATCTAGGCTGTGTTCTGTAAAATGCCTTTATTTCATCTTTACTATTAATATTAACTTTGACAGAGCCAGAAAATAATTTTGAAGTCCCTCCTGGTGCTTATTCCCAGAGAAAGCAGACCCTTGGCTTTTGCTGCCCCCTGTTTTCTACACTGTGACTGTATGCCGTAGCCTTGGGGAGTATGTTCTTTTAAAACGCTTATTTCAATTCGTTACCACTACTATTGTTCTTATTTTAATAATATTATATTAATGCTGTGTGTGTGCATGTGTGTGTGTGGGCATGAGCGTGGGCATGTGTGTGAGTGTGACCCTGTGCATGTGAGCGTGTGTGTTTGTGTATGAGCCTGTGAGTGTATGTACATGTGTGTGAGTGAGCATGAGCGTGTGTGCACGTGAGTGTGTGTGCATGCATGTGAGCGTGCACATGAGCGTGTGTGTGCAGGAGACGGTCAGATGACAGCCTTGGGGGATTGGTTCTCTCCTTCCACCTTTATAGCAGCTTCAGGGATTGAACTCATGTCCTTGGGCTTTGAGGCAAGCAGCTTTACAAACTGGCCCACCTCCGAAGCCCAAGTGCTGCCCCAGGCTCTCTCCTGCACGAGTGTCAAGATGCCTGTGCACCTGGAGCCCTCAGTATGCTGCCCTGTGTCTTGCCAATCCTTTCCACTTGCCCACCCAAGCCCCAACTTTGCAAGGTCTCAGGGATTCTTCAAGCCGCTCGCCTCTTGGGAATTCCACTTTTTCATTATAGGTATGGATGGCGGTTTGTGTGGTTCCTTATGATGGTCCTGTCGTTCCCCACACTCGGAGCAGCATGGGTATACTGAGTCTGATGGGTTGAAAGCATCTCAGGGGAAAGCGGACCCTTGAGCTGATGCTCCTCAGCAACCCAAGGGGCACAGGAGTTCAGGAGAGCACGGACACTTCTTTCATATGTTGCCCTAAGATCTGGTTTCTGCTCTTCTCCTGCCTGACTCCCTGACTTGCTCAGTAAGTGGCTCCGGGCTGAGTTTAGTCAGCATGGGCACTGATGGGGGACAGGAAGGCCAGCAGGGCAGCATCTCTGACCACCCTGGGGCACCTCTTGGTCCAGCGCCCACAGCACAGCTCTAGCTCTTGGACCCTGGTGGCATCACCACTGCACTTGAATACAGCGCTGGCCCCCTGGTCCAAAGCTTGCTCTCTAGCTTATGGTGCTGTTTCGGGAAATGCTGGAGACTTCAGGAAGCAGGGCGTAGCTGGAAGAATGTGGGTCACAGGGGAAGGTCCTAGGGGACTATATCTTGCACTGGCCTGCGCCCTGCTTTGCTTGCTGGTCATCATAAGGTAAGCAGCTCCACTCCGCTGTGTTCGTCCACCGCGATGCTCTATTTCACCCCAGGCCCAGAAACACAGACCATTTGGAGCCAAGAGCTAAAAACAAAATTTTCTTCCCCGAGGCTGACTTCCAGACATTAGCACAGAGAATAAATTTCACTGAGTCATGCTGTCACATTCCCCCCAGAGCTGGCCCTGTTGGTCTCTAGGATGCGACCCTGGTGGCTGAGCACCTCTGCTGTACCATCCTTTGTACACTCATCTCCCCCTGTTAGAGTCCTTCTCTCAATTCTTCCTGGCTGGATCAAAGGCTGGTGACACTTTGCAAGATGTCACCATCCTTTCTTTGAGGAGAAGGAGTGCCACAGTGACTTGACCCTATGCTGAGCCCCTTGAGGGTCAAGGACATCGTGAGTCATATCAAAGGGTGACATCATTGTTTTGTTTATTTTTGCTATATGTGTGTGTGTGTGTGTGTGTGTGTGTGTTTGTCTCTCTGTGCATGTTGTGTGCGCCTCATGCATGCAGTGCTCTTGGAGGCCAGAAGAGGGCGTCAGGTCCCCTGGAGCTGGAGTCACACCGCGGTTGTGAGCTGAGAGGCAGGTGCTTGAAATCAAACCAGGAGCCTCTTAGCTGCTGCTCCAACGCTCCAGCCCTGACATGAAATTCTTGATACCTGAATTTGGGACAGTCTGTTTAACTTTCATCTCCCTCATGGTGTGCGGCAGCGCTGAAAGGGACGCTGTGGAGCCTATCACTTGTCACACAGTGTTTTCTATGATACTTTATTTTTTAACACATGTGTGCACGCATGTGCATGTCTGTGTGTGCATGTGTGTGTGTTTGTGCCTGTGTGTGTATGTGTGTCTAATGTGTGTGGTGTGTCTGTATGTTTGTGTCTGTGTGTCTGCCTTCGTATGTCAGATGTGTGTTTGTGTATTTGTGGGTGCATGTATGTGTCTGATGTGTGTGTGGTGTGTCTGTGTGTGTGCAGGCATGTATCTGTGTATGTGTGGGTGTGTGAGGTATGTGAGTGTGTCTGATGTGCATCTAAATGTGTGTGCATGAGTAGATCTAATGTGTTTGTGTGTGCATGTGTGTATCTGTGTGTGCATGTGTATGTGTCTGATGTGTCTGTATGTGTCTGATGTATGTGTGTGTGTGTGTGTTGTGTCTATGTATGTGTCTAATGTGAGGTGTGTGTGGTGTGTGTGTCTGCGTCTGTATGTGCGTGTATGTTTCTGATACGTGTGTCTGTGTGTGCATATGTGTGCTGTGTGCATGCGAATGTGTGTCACAGTGAGACACAAGTCACAAAACAATTTGCAAGAGTCACTCTCCCGTTCTACCTTGCGAGTCCAGGATCAAACTCAGGTCATCAGATTTGGCAGCTGGCGTCTTTATCTCCTGAGCCAGCACGTGAGCCTCAATATTCAATAGTTTAAAGAGAACTATTTTCTCCTTCATTCACCATTTCTCTTTGGAGAAAGTTAGGTGAGATGGTACTGTGCCTTTAGAAATATCTTATGAACTTCTTTTGTGCTTGCTTGTTTAAAGACATTGTCTCTTTAAAAAGTAATAAAATAAAATAAAACCAAGAAGTCAGAATAGGACCCTGTTTGTGTTCTAGTGAGAGACGGAAGGAAAGGGTGCAGATTTGGGTGGGTGTGGAGACTGGAAGGGTCTTGGAAGAGTTGAGAGAAGGGGAAATTGCTATCAGAATATATTGTATGAAAAAAATCGATTTTTAACACAAAATAAAATAAATAAAGACATGGTCTCATGCACCCCCAGGCTGACTTTGGCTCACCGTGCAGCCAAGGATGACCTTGTACTTCTGATCCTCCTGCCTCTGCCTCTCGGTGTGGATATCACAGGTGTGTACCTCCATGCTCGGTTTGTGCTGGGGGGTGGACCCAGGGCTTCACGCATGCCAGGCAAGCTCTCTACCGACTAGCGCACATCCCAGCCCAGCTCTGCTGCTTGTTTGAAATAGGAGCCCACCACTGTCTCCTCGCTTTGCTCATCAGCTGCATCCCAGAAGCCCTTGAGAAACCACACAGGCACAGAGCCCACCTCCACAGCCCACAGCCATAGACAGTGCGCGGCAGTGTATACCACCTGGCTGCAAATCTCACTGGCGTGAAATGCCAAGCTGGCGCAAAGTCCTGGAGGCCCGCTTTCGTGCCAGAAGTGAGGTTCTGAACTGTGACAAATGGGTCATGTTTAAAAGAAGAGACTTCACTCTGGCACAACGGACACTGGTGCCTGAAGCACGGTGTGGCTTGATACAGGGGATGTTTCTCAGATCCCTTTCAGATCTGAGACTTGCAGCTGAGAGTGTCCAGCGTGTGTAATGAGAAATGGTGTGACCAGTCTGAAGCCCCTCCTCAGCTTCTAGCCCGAGACGGGCATTCCCAGCCGCACTAGGTTCTGGCCTTTCCCTCCTAAAGCCCAGGCAGAGGACTTGCTGCCAGCCTTGTCTCGTTTCCCGTGGAGAGCCACCCCTCTTCACTGGCACCCCAGCGCAGTCTCTGACCATCCCGGGAGACTGAGCCATGCCCCGGAACCTAACGCAGTTTCTCTGTTAGGAAAGAGTGGATGGAAGAGAAGACAGTCTGTGCTTACTGAAGGAGCTCTGCTTCCGTGAGTTCCTCTGTTCTCAGCTCCCCAGTGGTCATGGCCAGCTCCGTCTTTAGGTCTGCAATCTCCTTTTGCAAGCGGATAATCATCTGTGCAGGGAAGAGTGGGTGAACAATGTCCACTTCCGGTCACTGTGACCTTGGTGGAGCAAACATGCAGCTTCGGATGTAACAAGCCACTGGGTATGCAAGATGGCTCAGAGATTAGGGGCCAACACAAGTTCAATCCCTGAGACCCACCCTGGGGAAGAAGAGAGATGACTCCACAAATAAACTACCTAACTGTGTACACATGGATAGTCAATTAATTAAAATGATTAACTATGTCAGGATACAAAACTGGGCAGAGGACAACCTAAAAGGCATTCATGTTCCTAACCTAAACTTTGTCTAAATAACTCTAGAATTAGTTTTAAAAAAAATCATTACAGAGGCAACTTGAGACCTTTCTCTCGGTTTCCCTTCAGTCCTCCCTGGAGTGTCTGTAATGCAGTTATGAGTTATCAAAGCACGTCCCTTACACTACCATGCATTCGCTCCATATGTACGCTTGCGTGTGTTTCCTTAAATAGTGTGCCCTGTCCTTTTACACGCCTTAAATGATCTAATGTTCTAGCGCTGTACGTAATTGCACCTTGTTATTTTTTTTCTCATACATGATTTGGGCCCATTTATAATGGTTTGTGAAGCTCTTCATCCTGAACTTTCAAAGGCATATACTCGTCCAATATCATATGTCAAACTCTGTCGGAGTTCAGGGACGGCTTGGTCAACAAGCTACCTGTCTTGCTCAAGGACATGAGTGGTCCCCAAACCCATGAGGAGGAGCTGGATGTGGTGGTGCATGTGAGCTACCCTAGCGCTGGGGAGCTGGGTGCCTGGAGTTGGGGGCCGGCCAGCTGGCGTGGACCTCTAGGCCAGTGAGAGACTGTATCCCCAGAAGAAAGGCTCATGGTTGTGTGTGTGAGTGTGTGTGTGTGTGTGTGTGTGTGTGTGTAGTGGCCCAGTAGTTAACAGTGCTCAGTGCACAAACATGAGAACCTGAGCTCCAGTCCTATCACCCGCTTAGAACTCACATCGTGGACATGGATGCCTGCCACACCAGAACTGAGGAGAGGGGTAGGTGCTAGGGCTTGCCAGCCACTAGTCCATACCATGTAATGGGAAACCCGTTCTCAAGGGCACAAGGCTGAAAGAAAATGAGAGAGCAGCACAACCGATGTCCTTGTTCGCACACACACATTAGTGGACTGTGTAACTGCAAAGGGAAACCAGTGGCAGGGAGTGGGGAGACATGATATTTACCTACTCAGTTGGTTGCTTGGTTTTGGTAACTCCAGTTTTCAAGGATTGGCAAAGGCGGAGTCAGCCTGCCAATGTGTGTTTTGCCAAGTTCATATTATGACCACATAGTCGTTAACGGGGTATTTAGTATTAGGAAACAGCTAGACTTACCTCAGGAAGTTCAGGATAAACTGCCACTAAATATATATATATATATGTGTGTGTGTGTGTGTGTGTGTGTGTGTGTGTGTGTGTAGTGATCGTTGAAATTTTAAAAAGAGAGGGGTAGGCTGCATGAGGTGATAGCTTTCACAAGCCTGAGAAGTCTTCCTTCTTGCCATAAAGAAACATGATATGATCTTAAGAAGAGTGCAGGGTCCAGGGCTTTCTTTCGTACCTTTTTGCATATTTGAAATGGTTCATACTAAAAACTGATCAAAGGGATTGAGACAGTCCATCACATGTACAGTTTAAAAGAGGAACAGTGAACGATCTTATCACTAGTGGCAGTAAAAAGTATCTGAACACCCTGCGGCTGGGGGGACGCGTCAGTGGTAAAGAGCATAAACTCTTGCAGAGGACCTGAGCTTGATTCCCGGTACATATGCACCTATGATAGGACAACAGTCTGTACCTCCAGGTCCAGGGGGCCCAAACCTTCTTCCAGACTCCTTGGACACTGCACTCATATGTACACACAGAAACACACACACACACACACACACAGTCACACACATAATACCAATCTTTTTCTAAAAAAATCATACTTGATAATGGCAAGAATTTATTCACACATTGAAAAGACTCAGCTGAGCTGAAGGAAATGAGCATCTTTAAGCCGGCAGAGTGCCAACCCCTCTATAGTAGCCCTTTATTTTAGCAATGAGCAGTAGAAAGGTTAAACAATTTAATATTCTACTTAGCCATATTGGCTAGGCCAGTGAGACAGTGAAGAGAATAAAATAATTGGCTCACACTTGCAGATCATGTTATTGTCTACACACAACACCCAAAAGTATTTGGTGATAAATACTACATTTGCCCATAATCCATTTATAAAGATTCTTTCCAATATACCAGGAGCCAACAATTATAAAGTATCATTTTCTCCGATTCTACTTAGAGGTTCCACAAATCCTTTGTCCCTCCTGCTATGTAAGCTAAAGATACCTGTAGCTAGTTTTTGCTACTTTGTGGGTTCTTGTTTTTCCCCCCTGTTTCACTTCCTATCACCAGATAAAAGAAAGAGAAGGGGGGGGAGAGAAAAAGACAGAGAAAGAGACACACAGAGACACAGAGAGAGAGATATCTTTGAATCTAATTTCTTCTTGTTTCTTCTTTGAGCACGACTACTAACAAACGGCAACCAACCCCCTTGAACAATCAATAACCACCAACCCCATCTCTTGGGGCCCTCACATTTAGGTACCTTCTGAAAAGTTCCCAGAGTTTCAAATATTATGCAGTCACGGGAACTCTCTGTGACTGGCAAAACCATGCCACTGTTAGAGCAGGAGGCAAATCACAGCCCAGTGCTGCACACAGTCTGAAGCGGCCCCATATCCCCACACCTGCGATTAAAATGAAAACTTGTTCTTATACTATTTCTACGGTTTTTAAAGAAACCAAGATTCCATAATTGTCACTACTTGTCCTAGTTAAGGTTGCTATTGCTGTGATTAAACACCATGACCAGAAGAACTTGTGGAGAAAAGGGTTTATTTCACTCACAGTTCCATATCAGCATCAAAAGCAGTGAGGACAGGCACTGAAACAGGGCAGGAACCTGGAGGCAGGAGCTGATGCAGAGGCCATGGAAGGGTGCTGCCTACTAGCTTGCTTCTCTTGGTTTGGTCAGCCTGCTTTCTTATAGAACCCAGGACCACCAGCCCATGGATGACACCACTCGCAATGGGCTTCACCCCCAATTAATCACTAATTAATAAAATGCCCTACAGGCTTGCCCATTGGAGGCATTTTCTTAGCTAAGGTTCCACCTCTCAGATGACTTTAGCGTGTGTCAAGTTGGCATAAATCTATCCAGCACTGCACCTCAGGTATTAGTTAAAGGTGGGAAATCCATCTGTGCCCCAGCCTTGAAAACGGGATCCCCCAAACCAGCTAACTGCGCTAACATTAGCTCTTCCTGTCCCCACAGCTCCACCCCCTTTCCAATATGTCTGTTTATTCTCTAACTTATTTATTTAAGGATTGGCTTCTCAGGCGGCAGAGGCAGGAGGGTCTCTGCAAGCTCAAGGCCAGCCTGATCTACAGAGTGAGTTCCAGGGTAATCAGGCCTTCAGAGTGAGACCCTATCTTTTTTTTTTTTTTTTTTTCCAGAGCTGAGGACCGAACCCAGGGCCTTGCGCTTGCTAGGCAAGCGCTCTACCACTGAGCTAAATCCCCAACCCCGTGAGACCCTATCTCAAAAAAAAAAAAAAAAAAAGAAACAAACAAAACACAAATACAAACAAAAAAAAAAACCCAAAAAAGACAACCTTGCGTTTGCTTAGACCAAGGGGTTTTGTACATGTGATTCAAACTATATGAAGGAGGGGTAAGGCTTTCAATCTCAAGAAGATACTAGTTGTGGGGCTAGAGAGCTGGTTCAGAGTGAGTACTGCTCTCTCAGGGAACCTAAATTCAGTTCCCAGTACTCATCTTAGGGGCACACAACTGCCTCTAATTCCAGCTCTGAGGGATCTAATACCTTCTTCTGGCCTCCACGGGTTCCTATACTCAGGTGCACATACCAACACACACACACACACACACACACACACACACACACACACACAAACATATTTTGAATAAAGTACCATCTGTCCTACCAGAGTCCAGAATATGACAGAAGGTTTCCCTGGTGTCTCCAGGTCAGGAAATAGATTTATTTTTCTGGCTCCCTCTTCACTGGTTTTATGTTAGGGAGGGAAACAGAAATCTCAGGTCCAGTGTCCATATTACAGAGTTGCAGGATCTTGACCTTCATCCCCTTGTTAACACCATCTGTTCATGGGCTCCTCTCACACTCAGGTAACATGTTCGGACGATGCTTACAGAACTCCATACAGCTGAGTTTCGGGCTATCTTGACTGCAACCCTCCAAATTACCACAGTGTTCTGGACACATGCTCCAGAAGCTTTATTTTAATGCACAGTGTCATGGGTTTTACTCGCAGGCATCTTTTCAAGAAACACTGTCAGAAACCTTCAAGCCTTATAGACTAGAACTCTAAAACTCTTTGGACAAGAACTGAGTCATTCATTTTGCTACCTCTCCTAAATTGAGACTGACACTATAGTGTTTATGTCTTTGTGACTGGATGAACGTGGGGTGCACGGGCCCCAGGGATCATCCTATATCCGCCTCCCCAGCACCAGCGTTTCAAGGGTGTGCCATCACACCAGCTTTTGTTTGATCCCCAGCTGGGTTCTGGGGATCAAACTCAGGTCTTCATGCTTGCACAGGGAGCATGTTACCAACTGAGCCGCCTCCTGGTTCAGTAATTTCTAAGGATTTCGAAGGCAAAACTACTATCAAATCTACTATTGAACAGAAATCTCCATTTTCATGCATTGAGATTACCGAAGCCATGTCTCCCATGGATTGCCCATGGACCTAGAGGCATCTGGGGAGATCCTGGCCCACGACAAGTCACCTCAGAATCTGCCCATGTCACTCTGAAGTACCAGTGTTTGGTGACTCTCATCATGTAGGGTAACACCATACTCCTCACTAAACTCTCAGAGTAAGACACAGGAAATACCAGCCAAGATAAATCTTGAGTGATTTTTAAAACCACTTCTTTTGAAAAGATGGATTTTATTATTTTAGAGATTACGCCTCTGTGTGGACATGTGCATGTGAGCGAAAGACCTAAGGATTCCTGGGGCTGTAGCCACCTCCCCCCTGGTGGTGAGTCACCTGACAGGAGTGTGAGGAACTGAACTTGGGTCTTTTGCAGTATCAGTAAATGCTTTTAACAGCTGAGCCATCTCTTCTGTCCCCAGGACAAATATTTGATTGTCACTTGTATCTCAGGAACGATTCACACCTTAAAGTAATAAGCAGCAGTGTGTGGCTGGGGTGCCGTTGTTACAGAGACTAGCAAGCCACACTTGTCAGTCAGGAAGAACCACAGTGATTGCTTCAATTAGCAGCTATTAGCTTTTTGCTCTTGATCTCTTTGCTTTAAACCTCTCACAGACCTACATCAAACACGTGCTGATGTCCTCTGCCTTCAAAAGCCTTCAAAGAAAAGTCTCTCCAGCAAAATTTAAAGAAAGTAAAGGAGTGCTTCCAATGTCTTATATGTTTGTTTTCCATAAACTGTGAACTAACTTTTGTTAGGGCCTTTTGCATTCTGCACAGCAATGCTCTTGGGAGGCAGGAGGGACAGGCACAGCCACAGTGATGCTCTCGGGAGGCAGGAGGGACAGGGACAACAGACAACATCCCCTATGGGTGCAGTTTCTCTTGACTCTGCTTTTGTGTTCTGCTCCATCACCTAGAACTCTGTGGTGCTGGGGTCTGACCGTAATGGGTACAGGGAAGCTCCTGCTTCACACACTGACTTCCCCATCAGGGCAAGGGAGGCTCCCTGAGGCTAACAGGGCAGAGCAGGCGGCCTCATTATCCTTTTCCCTTCCTTTGCCTCTGCTTTCAGTGGAGTGATGATAGACAGGGAAGGCAGGTAATGGAGAAGAAGGAATTCAGGACACAGCAGTGATCAGTGTTCAGTGATCACATGTTGAGTTTGAGAAATTTGAAAATGAGGTTGGTGAGATTTCACATTTTTGAACTCTGCATATTGCAAGGTCACATGAGCTTCTTTTCTAGAGGAATGAGAAAAGCTGGGTAACTCAAAAATATACAATCTTAATCATTGGATTTGCCAAATCTGAGACATTTAATCACAGTTTGGAAGCTGGCCTGAGATGTTCCAGTGTTGCCTGCCTTTCCTTTGCAGAGAATATACAAAACACAAAGGAAAAGTTATAGTCAAGGTGAGTAGTTGAATTATGTTTCTGTGATTCCCTTGCATAAAAAGTTGCTTTGATAACGCAGGAGTTATTTTTATAAAACCAAGAAAACTGATAATTTTTTCACGAAACTATCCAACTATAGCTAACCTTTAAGAAACGATAAGAGTAATAGGATGCTTGCACATCTCTCTCTCTCTCTTTATGAGGTGTGTGAAAGATGACTTGATACTCAGTGTAAAAGCGAACATTGATGTTTTGTGAATGGCTAAGGCCTTAGTATAAATATAATTGTATTCTCCCATTGTAGTGCATGCCAACCTGTTGGGTGTGTCCACAGGATGGACCACACTGTGTCATGAAGAAGATGCCCTTGAGCTGACTATCTGGGCTCAGCTACCTGCTCTCACTGGGACTAGGAGGAAGTTATTTCACGCTCTTGTGCCTCAGTCTTGCTACCCACGGAGACAGCCAGAACATCCCAGCCTAGGATTGCCTAGGGTTACATCAATGAATGCAGGCTGGTACCTACAACACTGCTTAGTACACGCTCACTGCCCACAGCCAGTTTCAGCTACCCACGCATAGTTATGGTGAGCGTATACATTTATCTAAGCTCAGTTAAAAAGTTAAGTTTCTTATTGGAGCTGGGGTGTAGCTCGGTGCCTGGACGGCATGCCCAGGATGCTCAAAGCCCTGGGTTCTATCTCAGCACCATGCAAACCAGCTGTGGTGGCACATGCCTGCAACTACAGCAATCAGACGGCAGGAGGACCAGAAGGTCAAAGCTCTCCCCACCTGCAAATGAAGTTTAAGGCCATCCTGAGCGATACAAGTCCCGATCTCAAAAACAAAACAAAACAAAACAACAACAACAACAAAAAAAAAACAAACAAACAAGCATTGCTTACCAGTCTGGGATCGATTTCTTCATTGAGGATGGCTTCGTTTTTGATAAGGGCCACTCGCTGAGCAAATCTGCAAGTGGAGATAGACTCCTAGAGAATAAAGAACACAAAAAATAGTTTCTTAAAATATGGTGGCATTTCTCTCCAGATAAAGCTTAATTCCCATTAACAGAAAAAGTTACCCAAAGAGTAAGATGTCTGGGAAACACACAATAGATAAGTATACCTCAACATGAGGATTGGCCCTAAGATACTATTTTCTATTTTTTTAAAATGGTGTTGGCTTAGTAAAAGGCCAAATGCCAAAAATATAGGCACTCCTGGTGTCCCAAGAGGCAACTGGTATGCACTCAACTCTTTTAAACTAGAACTTCATATGACAGTCATAGCCACAGAGGTACCGTGATCCACAAGTTATGCAAGACCACACAGCAGGTATCCGTAATAAACCAAAGAAGAGGTTTTCACCGTGAAGGCTTGGCGCCGTCTTGGGATCTACCTTTCTGCCTTGCTTTACTATTTAGCAGAGTGTCTACACCCAAAATGTTAAGCTGACTCTTACAAGATTCCAGCTGACTCCATGGCCACCCAGGGAAGCCCTTTGGCAGTATCCCCTGGCAAAGCATCCTGGGTGTCAACATCGGTGAGAGTTTAGGACCAGCTCTCAGGACGGCTCTGAGATAGCCAGCTCTCATCAGTAGAGGGAAAACTGAGCAGGAAAAGTCTGAGATTTCCTTCTCTCTCTTCAAGCATCAAGCCTGCTGAGATTGGCACACATGGCTTCTTCAAGCCATTCTTCTGTGGCTGGTTCCCGAATGAGTTAATTACGACACCAGCACAGAACCCCAAGCTGTGAGCCCTGAGGTGGATTTGCCTCTGAGGGGGCATATCAGTGCTGCTCCAGAGATGCAGATTCACCCAGGCCCCCAGCTCCACCTCACCACCCCGAGACAGAAACCCAGACCAAGATGTCCAGGGAGAGGGAGTGCGCACATCGATGTTCCTCTTCTCTAGAGACAGCGTTGCGATCATGGTGGTCATGCAGTTCCCTCCCAGGCTGTCTCGGAGCACGCTGGTCATCATGGAATTCCTGTACGGGATGTGGGTGCGGTGTTTCTCCGAAAGGGCGATGATGACCTGTGAGAAGGTGAGCAGATGTTGGCACGAATCGGGCAAGAAAGGCACACCGGGCAGCGGACTCTCGATAATGAGAATACAAAAGACACGATAACTAAACACAGGTGACCTCTAGGGCTTGGGCACAGACCAGTCAGCTTAACAAGAGCTTTCAGTGTAAAAATAACAAAAACAGGGCTGGAGAGACATCTCAGTGGTTAAGAGCGCTTGCTGTTCTTCCGGCGGCCCTGAGTTCAATTCCTAGCACCCACACTGAGTGGTTCACAACTGCCCGTGACCCCTGCTCCAGGCAATTCCACACCTTCTCCTGGCCTCCAAGGCCCACTGTACAAAGAGTGAGCAGCATAGCTGCTTACAAAACCTCAGTTAAGCATCTCACCATCCTCCCCATTTGAAGCTCTTTCGTAAGATAAATGCCAGTATTCATTACAGTTCTAGAAAACACTGATATGGGTGACACAAGCAATATGCTTATAAACCTTCCTGGGGATATTAAATTGAATATTAATGAACTCAATTTTGCTTGCAAGTTACAGAAAATGTAAGTGATACTGGTCTCCGTCAGGAGGGGTGGAAAAAGGAAAGCTGTGGGCTACAAATGACCCAAAAGGGTAGTGGGTTTATGCTTGTATCTCTGCTGTCTTCCATGTGGTAGAGGTTAGCCACCTCACAGCCACAGGATGGCAGCCAACACCCCTGACATTATATATGTCTTCATTCGTAAGTTATGTGAGAGCAGACTCCTTTCCCTTCCTTTTATCTTGAGCTTCTCTGGTGAGCATCTTGGTCCCTATCTGATCTGCAGGTTGATCACTGCAGCCAGGAGGAAGGCTCCAGTTTGCTTTGGCCAATAAGGATCAAATCCCCAGAGCTGGGATGGGTGCTGGGTGCTCCCCACCAGAAGAGACATCTCAACATCCGCTCCATGAAGGGACTAACTTTACAAGAAAAAAATAATTAAGCATCAAAGTGAGATTGTGGTCTTAAAAATGGAGGAAATGGGGTTATTGTGATAGAAAAAAGAAGCCAGGATTTGGAGGCAGAATACATCTTCCCCACTTGTGTGATCCTAGGGAAATCTCAGAAGTGTGTTAGCTTATGTTTTCTGGTGAAGATGGGACTGGACTGCCTGACTGTTTCAGAGGAATGTTGTAAAGGGCAAGAGAAGGGTCTGAAGAGATGGCTCTGAGGGAAGGAGCATTTGCTGTACAAACATGAGGACATGAGTTCAAACCCCCAGCACCCATGTAAAAAGCTTTATGTGGCTGTGATGCTTGTGACCTCAACACTGGTGGACACAGGACAGGTGGGTCCCAGCTATCACAGCTGGTCACTCACCAGCCAGCCCAGCCCAGCCAAATGGTGAACTTCTCTCTCAGCAAGACACCCTGTTTTGAGGCAGCAAGATGGAGGGTGATAGAGGAGAGCCAGTATCTTCTGACTCCGCATGTGCACGCAGTCATGTGTAGTCGCACACACAGATCAGGAGGGAACTTCTGGGGTAGTTACTGAACACGAAGCCACTCAATGCTGTGTTAGTGTTCAGGGGTGTCTGCTTTTGGCGTAGGGCCGGCCCATTTCCTGGAGAGAGGACCATGAGCAGGTCTCCTGGAGCATCACAGTGAGCCCAGGCCACACAGAGCCCAGGTCACACAGAGCCCAGGCAGGCCTGAAGAGGGACCAGAGAAGGAATGTGACATGGGCAAGCAGAGAGGGCTTGGAATGGGCTCTGCAGTGAAAGAGGGCAGAGGGGTCAGACAGCGTGTGTGTGTGTGTGTGTGTGTGTGTGTGTGAGAGAGAGAGAGAGAGAGAGAGAGAGAGAGAGAGAGAGAGTGAGAGTGCGTGTGTGGTGTATATGTGGTAATTGTGTATGCTGTGTGTGTGTACATGTGTATCTGTGTGTGCTTGTGTGTGTCTGTGTGTGTGCCTGCCACAGGACAATCCCTAGAATGTCATTTCCAAAGATCTTTCCTCCTCGTTTCTTCTTTTTATTTTTGGTGACAATGCCTCTCGCTGGCCTGGAGTTCACCACGTAGGCTGGTGTGGATCCCACTGAGCCACAGGGCTCCACCTGTGCCCACCTTCCAGCGCAGAGATCACAACTTTGTCACCACATAGATTCTTGGCACCAAACTCAGCAAACATTTACTGAGTGAGCTACTGGCCCAGCTCTGTATTGTTCATGTAATTCCTTATTCCTGTGTGAGTGTGGGCTCTGTGTGTACACCCGGGTGTGAGTGTGTGTGCAGGCGTGCAGGTGCCCATGGAGACCGAAGGCACTGGCTCCCCGACAGCTGGCTTAGAGGAGGCTGTGAGCTGCCTGGCTTGGGTGCTGGCAGCCAGAACAGAGGCTAATTTCTGAGCTTTCCTTCAGCCCCCTTGGGTCTGCTGTGTAATGTTTGCTTCTACTCTGAATGTCGCATATAAATACAATGGCAAAGATTCTTTACATATTCCACTAGTAAGAAAGAATGGAATCTCACATCACACTTAGTAATACCTTCAAGGGCCTGGAAACCAGCCTGGTAGCAACAATTCAGCTACTCAATGGATTAAGAGGTTTGCTTTCTTATTTTTAAAAGACCTTCTCTTACATTTATGTATGTATGCATGTATGTATGCATGTATGTATGTATGTATGTATGTATGTATGTATGTATGTATTTGTGTGTGGGCTTGTGCACGTGTGTGTGTCTCACTGAATTTCAGCAGGTACCCATGGAAGCCAGAAGAGGGCATCAGAGGAGCTGTAATTATAGGCAGTCAGGAGCGACCTGATATGGATGCTAGAAACTGAAGTCTGGTCTTTTGACAGGAGCAGCAAGCACTCTTAACCACTGAGCTGTTGCTGTAGCCTCCAAGAAGATTTTCCTTTAAAGAGCTCAGAAGAGTGCAGAAAAATGTCTTCTGAAAACGAGCAAACACTGGGAGCAGTTTTGACTGGCACTGGCCCAGCACCTTCACTCCTGAACACAACATGCCTGAAACTCAGCAGGAGCCACGTGTGCTATGGAACTGGCTGAAGGAAACCCCGTTCGCTTTCTGATGAGGAGCAAACACTGGTCCCAGTGGTTTCTCACTTGCTGTTTGGGCTGCTGGAGACCCCAGGTCACTCCCAGAGCACTTGTTGAGGTTTGCAGTTAGCACAAGTACACATGCTCTCTTTCCTTCTCCTCATGCGAACTCGGGCTGTGGGGCCAAGTGGTACCCTGTTATTGTGGCTTGAAGTGTTTTTGAGGAAACTCTTCGGAAAAAAGTGCTGCATACATAAAGAGAACTCCAAAACCAACAGTATTCTGGCAAACTGGATGTTAATCACTTAAAAGTGTGGAGTCACTAAGGCCAGGCTGGCTGAGTGCTGGCAGGTGTGAGTTCTCTCAACTACAACCAGCAGGACGACTAGAATTCTGTGAGAAAAGTTTAAACCAACGCAAGCTAGTCAATGCAAGGCAGCCTAGCAAATCAGTTCCTCTTTCACCCCTGTATTTTATATTGAGATGGAGAGAGCAAGGGTGTGATTAACTATCGCAGTTACAAGTGATACCATTTATTGAGGTGTTTGTAGGCGTTCTGCCCTAGTTAGCGTCAGGCGTCCACCTGACTCCGCCTGGAGTCACTAAGGAGAGACTCTCAATCCAGGGCTTCTTCAGGTCAGATTGACCTACCTGTGCACTTATTTGGGGGAGGGGAAACTGTCTTGAGTGCTGACCGATGCAGGAGGGCTCAGCCCACTGTGGGCAGCACCATGCCCTGTGAAGGTGCTCCTGAGCTGTATAAGAAAGCCAGCCAAGTGTGGGTCGGGGAGTGGGCCAGCGAGCAGAGTTCCTTTATGGTTTCTGCTTCAAGTCCTGCTTGAATCTCTTCCTTGATTTCCCTCAGTGATGAACTGTAGCCTGGAAGTTGAAACAAACCCTTTCTTCCCTAAGTTGCTTTTGATCATGGTGCTTGTCATGGAAAGGAACGGAAAAAGTTCGTATGCTTCGCCGGTTTGCTGGTTTCATGATACATGGCTTGTTCTCAGGGAGGCATCTACCCTGATGCCCAATACAACCCACAGCTTCCAGGGCAGTGGACGAGCTAGCTAGTCACACTAAGTTCTTTCATATGCCCCATCTCTTTAGCCACACAATAAAATATACACAGAAATAATTTGATCATAAATGTCCGTGAGTTATGTGATTTCATTAAATATCTTCTCATTCTTTTTATTACTCTTACTGATGTGAGTGCTCTGGTTCTCTCACTATTTCCGAGTGTTACTCTCTTCTGCCCTGCCACCCACTCACCAGCAGCTCTTCCCGCCTCACTAAACCCTTCAGATCCATGGCCATGTCTGCAGCTTCCTAAACTCCTGTTTCCTTGCTTGCAAAGGCACTTGGATCTCAGAGAAAATGGTTAACAGCTGTCCTAATGCAGTGGATTGGAAGGAAACAGAAGAGGTGAGAGTCACAAGAATGTCATTTAGCCTGGAGTAAAGGGTCCTCTGGGCTGGGTGAGTTGCTCATGGGCTCATAGCTCCCAGGACCAGCCTTGCCCTACCCCACCCTTGCCTTGCTCCCTCCCACTCACTCCTCATTTCATCATTAACTCTTAACTTCCTCCGTCTCAGTCAACCTCTCCCTTTTCCTTATTTGTCACAGTTCCCACCTGAGGTGCAGCCATGTACTTACAGTGGCCTAATGCAAGCCTCTGCTTCAGAACAGGAACCCTTTGGGGGAGGGGCTGCACTATGACCCTCGGCACATTATAGATCTGTCCTATTCGCATGTCAGTTGCTGTGACAAAATATCCCAAAACAAAGTGGCTCATGGGAGAGGAGGGCTTGGGAGAGGAGGGCTTATTTTAGTTTGTCAGTCAGTTATTGGGGGAAGTCAAGGCAGAAATTCAGATAGCTAGTCACCTAATGCCCATAGTCAATAGAGGAAAATGTGTGCATGCCTGCTTGCTTATACTCAAGCTCAGTTTCTCCTCTCTCATATAGTTCAAGACCCCTTGCCTAGGGAATGGTGCCACTCACAACGGGCTAGATCTTCCCATATCAATGAAATTAATTAAGACAACTCCCCCAGTAGACATGTTCATGAGACAACCCAATACAGATGATCCTTCACTGAGCTTTCCTTCCCAGGTGATTCTGGGCTGTACCAAGCTCATGATTAATGCTGACCCTTAAAAGACCTTTATCAATATCCATTAGATAACTAACTAATGAAAAAGAAAAGGCCACATAGGCATTATGAATGTTCACAGGGATTGTAAAGCAAAGAGGTATGAGAATTGGAATAATTTTAGTGATAGTCAGGAGTTTGAGGTGATTGTGTGCAAGAAAGGAAGAAAATGGGTGTGGAGTGAATCTTTCTGAGTGATTACAATTCATAGAAAGTTTGACTCAGCTAAAGAATGTAATTTTGTATGAACAGATGGACACAATGGGAATTAAAACCATGCTGCCATCTGAACACATAGACACATTTCTTTGAAATAAGGCAATTTGAATACAGCCCATTATGGGCATATATCATTGTTCTGGTAAATGTCCTATTAAGCAAAAAGCTTCATCAGTATAACTGGTGTGGAATATTTAAGTAAGAAAGTGCTTAGGGCTGATGACTCCTCTCAAAAGCACTAAAGTGGCCAGCATCTCCAGGCCCTCACCTAAGGTGCTGCCTCCCTGGGGTTCTCATGGATAAACGTGACCATATCATCTCATTCAGGCGGTTCCTCTGGCATGGCCTTTTCAGCCCTGTGAATGTTCAGAAGTGTCAATACACTAATCTCAGGTTGACTTAGGCATTAAAGAAAAGGGACTTTTATTGTCATTTCCCTCAAATCTTTTAGGCTAAGCATTCAGGAATAAGAAAGGAACACAGGGAATCCTCCATCCATACTTTTCATTTTACAGATGGAGATCTGGGGTAGAAGATTTATGAAGCTAAATTTTGGGTGAGTTTTCTTTGCTTTTGTATTCACATTCAGAAATTAGGAACAGAGCAGCTAGTGGATGGTAGTCAGGATGGGGTAGGTATCTCAAGACAAGCCCAGGCTAAGAGAGCTGCACAGCAGAAGCAGCATGACCAGATGAAGTTAGCAGAAACTGAAAAGATACTGGTCACCTCTGAGTCACATTCTCAGAGAGTAATCTCGGAGCTAGAAAAATAGAAACAAAAAACCCAGGAGACCATTTGCCACCTGTATTCATGTCCAGAAGTAAATTTACAGTACAGACAATGAGGCAACAGCGCTGGACCCAATGAAACCTCAGATCAAATCCTCCTTGTCACTAGGTGACAAACTTTTGCAATCTGTGAAATGAAGAAGATAACACTTCCAGAATAACAGTGTTGTGGGGTTTAAATGAAATCGTGTCTCCAAAGCACTAGTACATGCTCATGGGAGTGCTACTCCCAATGAACAGATGCGGCCCACTGATGTTGAGTGGATCAACGAATAAACAAAACGAAGGGCATGTATTCCATCAAGCTTTGAGAAGGAATGAAACTGTGATATATGCTACTATGGGGACAACTGTGGGATTATTCCCTCCCAAGACAACTACCAAAGGGCTCACATGAAACGATGCCACTTGCAGCATCTGGACTGGGCAAAGTCAGAGAGACAGGATGTACAAGCTAACAGAGGCTAAAGATTAAAATACAAGGGGTGTTCTTATTCCGTAGAGCCTGAGTTTCTGGTTGAAAAAGTCTAGGGATGGCTAATGACTGTAGTTGCACTTATTTGAGAATGTACTTAATGCCACTGAGCTCTTCACTTTAAAAAAGGATGAAAAATCAGGACCTAAGAGATGGTTTTGCTATTCAGAGAATCTACGGCTCTTGCAGAGGACCAGAGTTCAGTTCCAAACACCCATATTGAGCAGTTCACAACCATAGCTTCAGGGGATCTGGTGCCCTCTTCTGATCTCTGCTCGCACAGGCGCAGATGTGCGCGCGCGCATACACACACACACACACACACACACACACACACACACACACACACAGAAACAGTTTTTAAACTATGAAAAAGGATAGATGTTGTTACGCATAGTTCATCATAATTAAAAAGCAAACAAAAACAGGGACTAGAATGTGTACCATGAAATACATGTAACACATGTGGCTACACCAGAGCTCACTACCCCCAATTTACCTGCTCCAGGTAATGCAGTGACAAGTTGATGTACTTGGCCTCTGTCAGAAGCAGGCCTCCGACTCCAGTCTTCGCAACACGCTCTGACCCCGCCAGGTCAACCAGATGGAGCTTAGCATGCCGGACGGTGGCAGATCCTGGCTCTTTGCTGGTCAAGTGAACAGTAAAAATGCAGTGTGATCGGGTTGAAGCTTGATTCATTGGAGTCTAAAAAAAGAAAAGAAAAAAAGAAAAAAGAAATTGCAAAATGTGTAACAGGTTGACTAGTGAAACCCTTTAGAGAATATTAAAAGATTTTAAACTGGATTTGTAACCGTGAGGCATTCCCCTGAAGCCAACACTGATGGGTAAAATCCTCAAAGTCTATTCTTTTCACTGTGCTCTTACCTGCCGAGGACTGGTGGCAAATGTGGATGGGTTGATTCAGAAAGTGACAAAGGTATCCTACTAGGATAAATATGGAATCTTTTGGGGATAGGGATCTGGCTAAATTGGTAAAGTACCTGCAATGTGAGCTGAGCTTGGATTCCCAGAACCCATGTGAAAAAGCCTGGCAAGGAGATGTGTCTGTGAGCAGAGACAGGTGGGTTTCCAGGAGCTCACTGGCCATAGAGTCTAACACATTAGTGAGAGATCCCGCCAACCCCTGGCCTCCCAAGGCACAGTATAACACACACACAGAAACACAGAAAGACACACACACAGAAACATACACACACAGAAACACACAACACAGAAAGAAACACATAAAAATGTGTGTATTATGACACTTCATTATCTCAATTGCTAACCAACCCACAGCAAAGAGGCCCAATATCACAGCTACATTCAAGACAGCTAGAAATGAAGGGCACAGTCATAGGAAAAGAGGGAATGAGCATGCCATTCTGAATGGAAACTAGGGAGATTTATCTAGAAAATGCACGTGTATCTGCAACCAAATTCATAGGAATAAAAAATCCAGGTTGAAGAAATAGCTCAATGAAGACACAAGCATAAGGACCCGAGTCTGAATCCCGAAGCCCACATAAATCCAGGTATGGCAGAGCATGTCTGTCGTCCCATTGTTCCTGAGGCTGAATGGGAGAAGAGCACCCTAGAAGGTCATGTGCTGGCGAGCCTGGGGTGTGCCCTGGCGCTAAAAACATCCTGTAAGTGTCAAGGCTTGAGGTAGTCTCCTGACCTCCATACTGTTCCCACACTCACAGATGAATGTGCACACACACACACACACACACACACACACACACACACACACGAGTAAAAAAGTTTACTAGGATCAAAATGTGAAATCAGTTAAGTCCGAATAGCCCAACAAGAATTTATCAGGAAACATAATTATTCAAAATGGCAACAAAGACAATGAAGTTATAAAGAATTACTATATAAGAATCGTTACGGAGAAAGACACTGATGGTGACCTCTGCTTTTCACACATGCACACATAGGTGAACACACCTGCATATATATGTGCATACCCACATACACACATGCATTCACCATAAATTCACATGCTTGTGCACGTACACACACACACACACACACACACACACAATGAGGATGGCTTTCATATTGTGTCTATAAATAAAAACCAGGGCTGGAGAGATGGCTCAGAGGTTAAGAGCATTGTCTGCTCTTCCAGAGGTCCTGAGTTCAATTCCCAGCACCTACATGGTGGCCCACAACCATCTGCAATGGAGTCTGATTTCTTCTTCTGGTGTGCATGAAAACAGAGTGTTCATATACATAAAATAAATAATAAGGAAACACCAGAATGGACTAGATGTATATAAATATAACAACACAATTTTGACATCAAGATAAAAATGAGCATACTGTAATCCCTCTAAAGTAGTAATTGTTGTTTTAAAATATCAACAACAACAAAAAAACCTCAGAAAAAATGAGAAAGGGAGATGACGAGATAGCTCAAAGAAAAAGAAAAATAATTAATGAGCATTTGAAAAACTGCTCAAAGTTAAAATAATTACTGTAGATCTTAGAAATATAAAGAAAAATTATTCCAAGCCCGTCAGGCTACAAATTACCAAAATGAAGAAAACAAGTTCTGGTTGAGTCATAAGGATATAAAAATTTTCATATACTGCTGATGGGAATACAAATTAATAATAGTTTAAAAAGAAATTTAGCAATATGTCACAATACTGCAAATGCAAAATCCCCATGAGAGTGATAAAACACTATATCTATTTCCTAGGGAGAAGTCATGAGAAGGTGTACCAGGAGATACATAAAGTAGAACAGCAGTTTCAATGTCTTTAAGATAACAAAAAATTGGTGCCAGATGTACAGCCTAAATAGACACCTGTGACAAAGGAGAAAAGAGACTAGGAAAAGATTGTCATAAATGATAATACATTTGTAAAATAGGTGGCTGAGAAAAAAATAAAGTTAGAAAGAATGATATAAATGCTGTGATGGACTTTATCTGAACATAATATTGGCATTCTCAACTATATATGCATCCGTAACTTTTGAACTTACGTCATTAAAATAAGAAATTATAGTCCAGAAGGCTACAGAGCATCAATGATAGCGGTGGTCTTCTGGAAGGATGGAAGAGAAAGGCCAACAAAGGACTCATGCTTTAGCTGTGACAGGCTTGCGATACTGTTGATTATCAACTTGACAGACTCTAGAGTCACCTACACCTAGGGAATCATGTGGGAAAAGCCATCTCAGCTGTGGGCAGGGTCATTCTCTAGGCAGGGAATCCTGGACTGTGTAAGACAAAGTCAAGCGTCAACCAGCAAGCATTCCCCTCCACTCCTGCATTTCCTGATTGAGGTCGAAATGTGAATGGCTGCCTCAGGCTCCCGCTCGCATGATTCCCTGCCATAATGGACTGAGCCTAGAACTGTGATTTTGGTAACCCCTTTCTTCTCTGAGCTGAGTACTTTATCACAGCAACAGGAAAAGCAACTAAGATAGAAAATTGGTCCTGAGAAGTGGGAGAATTGGTGTGTAAACCTGACTGGTTCTTGGGCCTTTAGGAGTGTTTTGAGGTAGGGATGTGGAAAAGCTGTAACTTTGGGGCTAGAAATGCCCCTGCATGCTGTAGGAAGAACTCAGAGGGTCATTGCAATGGATAGGAGGGACAGGAGTTTAGAATACAAGAATGGTGAGAGAGACTGGTTCTCAAGTTTTTAGAAGAAACAAGGACTCTCTCAGGGACTGAATAGTGTACTTTCTTTTATCTAAAAATCTTTATTCTGAATCGTGAAAACATCAAGAACTGGCCCTGTTTTCCTCTATACTTTGGGGAAGTTATATTTCTCTAAGAAAAGAATTAATATGATCTAAAACTGCAAGCAATAAGTAAACAGCATTGTGCTATCAATAAAAAAAAAAAACAGAATGTTCAAGACAAACAGTCATATGAATGAATTCAGGGCCATTCAGATCTGAAGCAAAGAATTTCAGTGTGGATACATATACACACAGATGGAGAAACATACGTTGATGTGTTTTAAATCAGAAATTCTTTCTGTCTATATAAATTCTTGATACACATCATGGTTGATTTACACCAACTAGCAAAATACACAGATGTCAAAATGCTGGCAATAGTTTGAAGCTTTCGATGCAGTGAGCAAGTTAAATAGGCTGAAAATTTGGCCCATCACTTGTTTCCACCATAACTAGACTCAAATCTAGGCAGTTCTCTCTTCCTCTTTCTCTCTTTCTCCTGCTGCATGTAAAAACCACAAACTCAAATATAGAACCTGACTTGAGGTGTTCTGGAAGCAGCTGGAAATTATTTGCAGAACTTAAATACAGGTTTCACTCTCCTGTTATGTCCATGTGACAGTAAATTCTACCAACTGAACTGAAAGTCAATTAGCAGGTGGAGCGAGGTAATCCCACAAAGGAATCTCAGCAGCAGCCTCTGCCTTCCAGGCTGCTAATGCTGAAGCAGCAAGGAAGCCTAGGCCTTTCACAAGGGTTATGGAGCCTGCATTTGAGCGCAGTAACATGCTGTAGGGACCCATGCCTTGAGTTCTGTTTCATAAATACTTTCTACATGATGCAGCTGTTGGTGCCCTCTTAGATAAAATGTCCTTAGACCCCCATGTGTGCTCTTTATGTAGTGCCGTGTCATTGGATGTACCCATGTCTGTTCCATGTTTGGTTAGGGAAGTCTCTGTGCCTCTGGGCATGCCTTGTCCTTTTAAAGGTAAAAACTGTACTTGAATGTTTCTGAAATTGCCTGAGAACAGATGGCACCATTTAGGCAGATTCAATTCAAAACTGAGCACATGTTTTAAGCAAATGTGTTCTTGGCAATCGCTGGTGCCTCTGGAAAAATTCTCAGGATGATTAATCATCTGCACGAAGAGAGCTTTTGCACTTTGTTGTCGGTCTTTGTAGATAGCTGCGTTAGGTGGCACAGAGAATGAAGGAAAAGAAGACCTGGAAGGGGGTGTCAGGGCACTTGTAATCTAGTCAGACAAAAGAACCCAGGTGTGTGAACCAAGAGCAAACGAGGTGAGGAAGAGGCATGTCTGGTAGAGGAGATGTCTGGCATGGGGTGGTGGCTCAGTGGGGGAAGTATTGGTCACGTGTTCTGGTTTCATTTCTCTTACTTTGACAAACACCTTGGACAAAATGCAACAGAGGGAGAAAGAGGTTTCTTCAGCTTCCATACATTAGAGGAGTTACGACGTCAGGAGCCTGTAGCAGCTAGTCACATCCAGTCGAGAACAGAGGGGCGTTAAGGCATGCACGCTTGCTTGCTTGCTTGCTCACTCGCTCTCAGTTCTCACACTGCCCTCACATAGATATGCCCACAGGGCAATCTGATCTAGATAATTCCTCACTAAGGCTCTCTTCCCAGGTAATTCTAGGTTGTTTCAAATTGACAATTAAAATTAACTGGTCTACCATGTAAGCAAGAGGACCTGAGTTTTACCCCCAGCACCCACATGAGAATCTGGGCATAGTAAAAGCACACTAATAATTCAGGAGGTGAAGCTAGGAAAATCCCTGGGGCTTACTGGCCACCCAACCTAAGCTACTCCGTAAACTCTAGGTCAATGAGAGAGACTGTGTCTCAGAACATCAAAATGGAAAAGATGTATGGCTTGGCACTTCGGTTGATCTTTGTGTGTTGGGGTTGAGAGACCAAAAGATAAATTAGCAGCTATTATTAAGACCTGAAGTAGGTGGGTGGAGAAGTCCAGTAA